TGGAACACAATTCATATGTACTTAACCTTCATATTTCTGCGTTGTTGCTTTTTCTCGTTAGACGCGTGGTCCAGTCCACAGTCAAGTTGTTTGAGGTATCGTCTCCTTTTCTTGAATAATGGATTGGTGAAAGATGCGGCAAATTTGTACATATTGGTCGCATTCTGCATTGGGTCGAAGTTCACAACAGTCAAGTTGATTACTTATCCTGTTCAATCTTTACCATTGAGGCAGGATCTGATCAATTAGTGTTGTCATAAGAACACAGCTGTCTTTAAATTGATACCGATTTGGAGCAGTAACTACGAAGGGAAAGCTTATACATATCTCATTGCGTTGGTCTATATCGTAATGTTTTCGTTTGAGATTCGTCATTTTGGCCGTATCGCGAGATACGCAGGCATCTTCTCGCAGAAAACCTAGGAGGGTTAGGAGCTCTGGGACAATGAAAATTGCTCACTGAGTCTGAAGTCTCTTCTCCACCACCGGAGGCTTAGTCCTGTTTTTGCTACAAAGGAGATGTTTTGCGTGGTTCTTAATGCATTGCCCTACTATGCCCCGTATCCTGTGATAGCGCCGTCATTTTGTAGCTAATTTTGAGGTTCCTCATCTGTGTTTATTTCATATTCTTTCGGTGCTTTCTGGTCAGACTAATGTCTAAACTCTGGCTCTTCACTTATCACACCAAGTTGGCCATTGGTAATTGCTTGTTTCAGAATACGTAGATCACGATCATGTGACAGCGCAATTGAAGTCCCGAGAGGGGCACCGATGGCTGTTCGCGGCAAAAACAAAAAGGTGATTTTTCTCCTCCTATCTTTACCAATGAACTGCTTGCTGTCCTAAAAGGGTGTAATTCCAGAATTTTGCTCAGCTCATTTCTTCGTTTTACAACGAGACAAGGAACGTTTCATGTTTGAATGATACTCAGCGACACCTCAAGGTGCTCATCGTCTAAAATTCTTTGAGTGTAGTTTCATTTGTAACATGGTAGCCTTTTGGCTTTTGACGGTGTCGCAAAATCATCGTTAGAACATACTTCCTTTAATTGTAGTGTCACAATTCCATTTCGATGGTACACGTGGCAATGCTCTTTATGCCATCTTATGAAACGTGTGTTTTTAATATTTTTACGACCCACCGGGTTAGGAGAAGCAAAGTGTATACAGAAGATGAAACGCCTTTTTGTCAGGAGACACGGATGCGCCTTTTTGCGGCACGAACAGCCATTGACGTCCATCCAAAGCTGATACTCTGTACGAAGGAGAAACTATCTAGGGAACTAAACCCATCGAAGGTAGCATGCTCTTTCCTCGACCAATTCTTGGTTTTGTTCTGAAATTAGTTCATCTTCTTCACAGAACACTGACAGATCGCCTGGAGTGTTTTCATTGCACGCTGCGCAAATACTGGATACTAACAATGTAGGTGGTTTTCGTATCTTCATTCAACTTGACTGCTGTAGTTACTTAAAGTTATCGTTCAGGTGGATGCTAATATATCAGATCCTGCTCCGGGTATGTTATGTTTTCATTTTTTTTCTGGTTCCGAGTGCTCTTTCATATATAGAACACTTTTTAAAGTGTCCGTTTCCGATGCCAGAATGCGCCAGCTCGTAGTTCAATGTAGGAGTGATCCCGAACTAGTCCAGAACTTGCTGTATGAGCCGCAGTAAGTTTTCTTGGCTTTCTTTGGACGGTACAATTTTTCATTTGGATGATGCGGAAGGTGTGAAGAGCGTCAGTGCAGAATGCTGGCACGTGGTCAACGAGGCTGCTGCTCAAATGGAGAGGCTTTGCTGACTGCTCACTTAATATCATGCGCCAGCATTCTATACTGGGGCTGTCACACTTTCGTGCTATCCGCACATTATTATTTATACTTTAGCATTTGGTCTTGGCTCGGATCCAGTGTTTTGACTTATTCAATTCATAAACTGTACCCTTAATTGCTTGCTTTAGTTAGGGATGTCCGCATGGGTGTGTGCCGGCTGCAAACGATTTGCGGTATTGTGACCCGTGTGAGCTTACGAGTGTGGCACTCATTTCTGCTCCAGCGTTACTTTTTGCTTCTTTGACATTCAATTTTCTCCCCTTTCCTTAGGTTACGCCAAATTAGCGCCAAATGGTGCCGTTATCAAATGGAATGTCATTCTTCATAGATTATTGTTCATTAGGAACCTCTATGGAGCCCTAGAGAAGTTGAGCGAGAATAGTTCTTGCCTACTTTGTGCTCACTATGGGCAACATTGATCAAAAATATGGTAAGTATGGAAGGTAAAAGATCGTAACAGTGCATTGTGGGCTCATGTGTTCTGAATTAGGCCTATTTCACACTTTTTTCACATTCATTTCAAAATCTATAATGAATGATGGTGGCGAATTTGATGAATGTTATATGTAATAATAAACCATTACATAACCTTTAATGAATATCGCGAAAGAGCTTTGGCGCCTAAATAGAAGGTCATCTTTGTAATTGGGGTGCTGGATAACCTCCGAAGAGTAGAGAAAATGTGAACATTTTTTGAACATTTTGTGATTGTAGTTGTGTTCAGGCGAGTGTCGGACATATATTTTCTTTGGCACACATGCTTCAGTGAATTCCTAAAACAATGCAAAAGGTCAGAGAAACACCCGGTCACGGTGTCAAGCTGTGCAGCAGAACACTGCATAGTGCCCAAGCAGAACGCTGTAGTGTAAACGCCAGAGATCTCCTGTGTAGTTCGATATTGTTACGTTCGAGCAGTCGCTATGTATATTCAGTTATTTTAGGAAACTTCATTGATGAATTATTATGGGAAACTTTAAGAAACTGCAAAATGTTCAGCTTAAATTTGAAATTCGACACCTACGTTTTTTTCTAAGTTTACGCTGAGTGAGTAAAGCGTTCGCGGTGGGTGAAGGAAGTGCAGAATTACGAGGGTTGACGCCTGGCATTGTTAACTAGTGCCAGTCTGACTCTGGAGATCTGAACCTTAGCGCAGTCTGACGAGTGCACCAACTCAGCTCGGTGCAACAGACGAAAATCACATTCAAATGTATCAATTCTGGATGGATTTAATAGATTTGTAATGATGGGATCTGATGTGATACTGCACTCCAAGGCATTGATCCATGTTAACCACCATCGCTCATGTTAATGTGTTGAATCTGTGCTCACAAGTCTTGCGGTAGCCGTGTGGAATGAATGACATTGTGACGTGTCATGGTGATTGTTGGTATTTGTTAAGGCAGATTGTTGGTTCTTCATAAGTCATGTACCGCAGTTTATAATGAGCTTCTGTGTTTGAGCGAGTCATGTATGCCTTGAATCAGTACTATTACGTTCCTAGATGGTAGGGGTTTTTCTGTACGGCATCTATGAAGTAAAGCAACTCTTGATGCTACTATAGTTTTGAGGCAGATACCGTACCCATTTCCACTGTCTGCGCCTTCTCACAAAGAATTTACCCCGTACGTTCCAACTTCCCACACATGTCAAGTAACTCTCTTACCCCTCCCCTCCGCCACCCTTGATTTTCAACAACTCAGTTCACGGCTTCTTCGTTCGGCTTCAATTTTGTCGCTGTGTAGGTGGACCATTCGAACGAAGGCGTGCAGGGATCCTGAATCAAGACTCCAGAAAGGAGGACTGTGCTGACAAAGGGTACATGGCTGCTCGAAGGGCTTTCGTAGAGAGATACAGTCGATATCTCGAAGTCTGATTGGGCGTGTCACCGGAAATGACGTGGCAGCCACCGCACTTGATAGAAGTCGTGTGGATAAGCTGTTTCTAGCACACTTCGCTAGATATCAGCAAAGCATGCTGGGAAGCAGCTTATCCGCGCAACTTCTATCAAGTGCGCTGGCTGTCACACGTCATTTCCGGTGACACGCCCAATCAGACTTCGAGATATGGACTGTAGTATGCGAAGAACCAATATTGTGATGGCCTAAAGAGCTCTTTTTCAAAGATCCTTCCATCGGTGGAGAAATAGAGTTTGAAGCGGATTATGTATTTTATGCTTTAAATTGAACTGTGCAATGGTGTTGCATTATTGAATGTATGCAGGTATGACGATAATAAGTGGAAGAACTGCTATACTGATGTTTTTCTTGTGGATGAAGGCAAGAAGATCGTCAAATCCGCCTATTCGTCAGGAATGGTGGTACCGCTAAAGAATTATCTGCGACACAGGTAATGCTCATGAAGTAATTGAAAAAGTTGGAGGGAGGGGGTGGGTTGTGGAGTTAGTCAGCACGCATATCATGATTTTGTTGGGATCTGAAGTTTTTACTTGCTTGTTGATACTTGCATTTTGCTTTGTTGGCCTGACCAGAGTGCAGCCTGGTATATTTATGCAACTTGCTTGCCTTTTAGGCGGAATTTCCGTCGAACTTCTTCACTGACAATCGGAACATTACCCTGAAGGAGGCTCGTGCCCATGTGCTGAGATCTCGTTTGGAAATGGCTAGTGAGCCGAGTGCATGGCTTACCGAGAACGACCAGCTGGGTCTAAGGTGAGTACTTTCATGAGATACTTCATTTTGATTATATCATTGCTACGTGACTTTTCTATCCCTAGAAGTAATTGTTAGGAATCTTGATCTAATGTCGTACCTCGCCACGGAACTGGATCCACACGCAGTACAGATGCGCCTTGCTTTGTACAACGAACAGACGTATTCGGACCGAGACAGAATACGAGTTGCCGGAAAATGTAGGTGACGCATGTTCTTTATCGGGTTTGATTTACTGCCATATGTTGGTTAAACTTCCGTCTCAAGGCTCGATTGCTTGGTGTTAACTGTAGTGAGGAGCAGTGCTTTGGTTAATTGCCATGGTTAATTTTCCTATCAGAACCTTTACATGGTTGTTTTGATGTCTTCAAATTTTTTTTTCAAAAAAGAAACCCCACCAAAAAAATTAGCACAATATAACAACTGGGTAAAACGAATGTTTTGGTCCCAGCAAGAAAGCAAAAAATTCATATGTATGTATTACCGGAAGGATGGGAAGAAGGAGAGAAGGTAACGAACTTCTTAACTGGTGTTGCATCCAACGTCGATTTCCTTTTGCTTGGTTTGAGAGTATTGGTTGTGATGAGTGTTAAATTCATAACGGGGCTTTTATCGTAGTGCTCTACAAGGGAGGTCTTTCAGGGCAAGCCGCGCTTTTTGGAAATGGTTTCTTGCATATTGTAGGGACGCATGTATGGACCACAAAACCATGTTTCGTTTTCGCTGAACGGTTTTAGTAGTATCAAAAAAGTGGTGAATGATACCCTCGATGGTTCGGTCCCCCGCGGCGACTAAATTTTGCAATCAAGGTTGGCGGCCACTTGGTGGCTTCAAAATGGTCCTGACGATGAGTGTGACACCTGATTGTGACATTTGCGCGATTTGGCACCAAACGAAGGCGCCAACCCAAATGCAAAATTTAGTCGCCACGGGGGATCGAACCCTTAACAGTACCTTATGCTTCTTTTTTGGTACTGCTAAACCGTTCAGCGAAAATGAAACATGGTTTTGTGTTCCCTACATGCATCCCTACAATATGCAAGAAACCGTTTTGAAAAAGCGTGGCTTGCCCTGAAAGACCTCCCATTGTCAGGGATCAAATAGGAGCTTTTGATAGGTAGATTTAAAAGTTGAAAAGTTGAGAGGTAGTGACACGCCAAGGTGCCACCTGATATCAGCCTCTGAAGACGTAGCAAACGTGTCCTGCGACTTGCTCGTTATGGAACTTTATCTCAAGTGGTACGCTAGAAGATGCTCTTCTTCACTGGAGCGCCAAGGATGGTGGAAAGATTCTTATAAGGCAGTAAAACAGTGTTTAATTGCTTGACCGTATCGAACAACCTTCTAAAAAGGCGAATTGCTCAGGGGAGTTCTGTAATCGGTCTTTTCAGGTTCGAAATATTGGACAATCAAGTGAATAACTTCCTTTCACTGCATGAAGCATTTTGGATAAGAATTTGGATAAATGCAGAAATCGCCGTGAGTTCATGCTTATATTGTAGATATCTTGACACATAGAACAGTCTTGCGGTACATTTTTATCTATCGTTCTATTTGTCTGCTTAGGGGTGAAATGTCGTGACTCCTCTAGAGTAACGATTCGTTATCCACCTGGTAGTGACGACAATTTCATCCATGCCAATTATGTGTGCGGTGGTCCGTTATTCAATAAGTTTATATTGACACAAGCACCCATGGAAAATACTATTGGTAAGTAATTTTCTTGTCTAACAGCTCCGGTTTTTTTTTTCAAAGAAATTTACTACTTTGAACCTATACAAACATTTTGATGCATGCTGATTTTTCGCTATTGCAGGTGATTTCTGGCGTATGGTGTGGCAAGAGAAGGCGTCATACATTTTCATGCTTATTGGGAGAAAGGATAAGGATCGATGTGCTGAATATTGGCCACGGTTGGTTGCCACCTTACTTTCTTTCCGTTCTCGTTTTTTTTTTTACTTAACAAACACCATTATTTGCAGTCGGCCTGATTCGAATTCCATAGATGTACATGGGCTGCACATTCATAACGTTGGATTTCGTGTTCACGCGATCCTGTGTTCCGTGTGACTTACATTCGAATTCTGAATGACTTTGGTGAAGAGGTACGCAATGAACGTGGTCCGCACGTTGGTTTTGTTGTGAACTTGTGTGAGTCTCTCATACGCCAACTGGTAAGGCGCCACTTTTTCCTACGACACCATACTGCCGTAGGTGAGAAGTTATGCTTGCATTCAATATTTCCTTTACATTTCCTGCTTTGGATGTCTCCAGTCATTTGCGTTCAACTGTCGCCGTGTGAAAAATTGTGCACTGACGGCCAAACCCATAACCTACTTGCCTGCAAAGCGAGAGTCCTAACACTGCATCACGGAGATCGTGGATTCCGCATCGGTGTAGCAGATGTTTTAGTGTACATTCTTGTAATCAACATCACAGACTTGAACGGTATGTCTGTGTGTCTTTTCAGAATCCAATGGGAAGCTCAAGAGGTTTAATGGTTCGGCACTAGTACATGTCAGGCTACTCAATTTGTTTGGAATTTAGTCAGTATTAAAGTCAGCTTTTCTCTTTACGAACAAGTTGATCGATTCATCCGATGGTTCACGTGTTCTGGCTGGAGGGCAAGGGTTCATCTGTAAGCTGGATACAACACCGAGTAGTTCTCCGTTGATGGACGTTCCGTGTGTAAACCGAAAGATAGGCACAGAATATAACAGTGCAGCGAACGGAGCAGGACTCGCGATGGTTGATTCTTCATAAAAAAAAAAAAGAATCTAGTGTCTAATTTCCTGTATTTCTTGCGGCGCATAGTTTACCTGGTCAGGCTACTTGGTTTTAATCACCTGGTCAAGGCCTACCTGGTTTCAATCAACGCGTCATTTTCCAAAAGTTTTCAACTGCAAGGTTTTAGTTCACTCATCTGGGTTGTTTCTGGGCCAGTACCCTGTTTCCCGCTGTGGACACACACTCATTGTTATTGCCGAATTTGTAAAACGTGAGGCATCAGATGGACTTAGTGGTGTACTGGATAATACACCTGTTTGGAAAGTACGAGATTCGGTTCGGGTACCGGCTTCGTCTCGAACTTGCATGCCTGCGACAACTTTCGCTTCACGAACGGCCGTTAACAGAACAAAACAAAGTGCATGATAACGACTTCGATGCGTGTGTCACTAGGTCTGCAGTTGTGACATATCGTGTGAAACAGAATGGATACGTAGTGCATTTTGATCTGTCAGTCCGATCGAAAGAGAACTAGCGACTTGGGTACTTAATGCGAAGTTACTGTGGGAAGCTAAGTAGCAGAGCAGTTGTTTCTAGTGAGAAGAGTGACAGAGTTTGAGCATGAAGTTTCAGCACCGCGTCGAACACTGGCAAGCAGACATGAATAACTCCAGTAATCTGAGCTCACCACTTGCAGTTCTTCGCCTTGCTCGCAATAGCTCTCGGCCTGTCATCATCCACGACTGTCTTGGTAAGTATGAAGCTTGCGAACCAAAAGTATAGTCTATTAAGACTGCCCTTGGATTCGTTCACAACTACTTGCAGTCCGGTTTAGAGCTGGTCCTATTATGAAATGAACAAGTTCATTCTACTGTTTATAGGTATTTCGCGTGCAGCATGTGTGGTTGCAACTGAGCTAGCAATCTGTAACATTATCAAAGGCCCTACTTACAAGGTGAGTTCAATACAACTTTCTTCCTACTAGAGACATTTTTTGAGGATGAAGTTGTTGGTTTCTTTTTCAGCATCCAATTCAAAAAGCCGTTCACTTTCTTCGGCTGCAACGGCCGTTCTCGGTGGAAACTCCCATGCAGTTTATTTTCATTCATCGATGTGTTCAAAAGTTCTTCAGCAAGATCTCAGGACAAGTAAGGGGAATGGAAGAGGACTATCAGAAGTGAGTTTTTTGTCTGTCTTTTGTGTTTGAGTATTCCACAGCTTTTCTATCGCTTTATTTGTTACGTTCTCGTGTCCTGGTTGATATTCTTCTTTGACAGATGGTTGACGGAACGGGCTGGGCGAATGTTCTTGGATAGTCTTGATTCTGCGGTACGCTTTCACGTTCGTCAGCATTCGGTGGTGTCATACTTTTCACGTTTCTTCAATAGTTTCCTTTAAGGTACCTGGTTATCGGCTACTATCTCCTCGGGTTGATCCTGATCTTTTGAGGCTTGTAAGGCGTCCGTCGAGACCAAATACGCGGAGGTACTGTGGTTTATGTGTCTTCCTTAATTTCCGAAGTTTCATTGGGATTGCCTTTTTAGGGAAGCCCCTGATTGTGTTGGAGAGCTGCCAATTCCTCTCAGACCGACAAGTGTTCTTTCGCATGCTAGAAGAGCACTAGAGACTTGATCTGTATATTTATTTATAGAAAATGTTCTTGTAAATATGAAAGTTTAACGATACTGTAATAAATATTAATTCTTCAAGTAATATTCTTGTGTAATTTAAGACATCGCAATGGACCTCAAGCCTTTCCAAGGAAGAAGGAAGGCATCCAATGGATGAGCGTAAGTCGCGTGTAACATGCGAACACTTGAAGAGCGGACTTGGTGAGCAGAATTATGACGATCTGCTTTCTCCATTGAAATTCGATTATGTCCTTTCCTCCGATATTCTGACCACCTTGGCCTGCTGTTCGCTCGCGCACTTCTGTGAAGGTGCCTTGATATGGAGTGGAAGTGCTCTGAACTGGCTGTTCGCGAGTCCCTTTCCAGTGTTTCTCCTATAAGGTGAGCATAGTTGTAGTAAGTGTAATGGACAGAGATGTGTGGGTGGCGCGTGGCTGTTACTGATTGGCGTCACACCCATTTTGGTCCACCATCTGTAGGGAGGTTTCTGACAATCGCTGGGATTACCTCTGAATTTTCGTGGCACACTCTCAGACTCAGCCTATCGAGTAATGTTCGCTACTTCGTCTTCTCATTCATGCCTTTGGAGATGTCGCCTCACACAAGTGTAGTTTTGTATGAACTTGATATCGCTGTAGATTTTTTAGAGTGAAGCATTGAGGTTCTTGAAACACTGAAGCATTATTGGTATTGAAGTACTTGGCCGCACCGCCGGCCCTTGCTAGTTCCTCGCCGCCGCTCTGACGTCAAATTGACGTCACCAACACGCGAACGCGTCCGCGCCGCCGGTGAGCTTTTCTATGGAGCCAAAAGGAAGTACCACAATTCTTCAAGATTTCTCGAATACTGGCCTTCGTCACTCGTCATATCACCCCATTTCGCCAAATACGATCCCTTTGTGTAAAATCGCAAAATGCGTTGCTTCTCATTTGAGTTGGCCAGGCTGGGGGTTGATCCCGTTTCAAGTAGGTCTCGCTGCAGCTTCAGACAGTAAGGATTGCGCAGAAATCAATTTTGTGAAAAGTTCAGAACAAAAATTCTGAGATTTTGGCGTGAAGGATTGCCTAGGAGGAGAGTAATTTAGTTCGCAAGTGCAAATGGGTGGCTTCCTTAAAAAATTTTTTGAACTCTCACATTTACTTGAAATTTTGCTGTCCTATATGCCGAAGTTTTACAGATCAAGGTGTTCCGCTAACAAATTGGTGGGGCATATGTAGAAGAATTTTCTGCGGCAATCTCTTTACAAAAACAGGAACCGCTAATATTGCGGGTTTTCCGTGGGGTTAAAGACGTTGAGTACTTAACCTTTTTCCTTTTGTTGGCCTAGCTATTCATTCTTTCTATTCTGGTTGTACTGTGTCTGTCAAGAGATGGACCCTACACTTAATTGCCACTGTTCTCGTTAATTCCGAGTGCACTGTAATTGTACGTGTGAGTTCACGCCGACAGATAAGTGGCACGAGCTCGGATAGGCGGTCGCTTTGTATGTTACTGCTCTATAGAAATGTAGACCGTAGCGTATAAAGAGACCGACCGTAACACTTGGACCATGTTCACCGCCCACTTATCTGCCGGCGTGAACACATTGATATGCAATAGGGTCAAAGAATACCCGTTTCCGATTTCCGGTAGCAATAAAACGGAATTACAAAGAAAAAAAACCAGAAATAGAAACCGTCCAATGTCTGGTGGAAATTTCGGTGCCATACGTAGTTGTTGTACGTTGCAGATTACGGTAATCCAAATTTTTGAGGGAGAAAAAGTTCATAAGTGAGCTATCCAATCCCTTTGTGAAAGAGGGAACTCGATGAGTATTACTTTTTCTAGATATTTTGATTAAAATGGAACGTTTGTCGTAGTTTTAAATATTTCTGGTCCCAGTCTCAAAAATGTCCTGTTCTCCCCTCTGCTGCATGAGCGCTCGTTTTTGTGCGGTCCATACCTTTACCCTAAAAATTGCTTGTGCTAGAACTTCCACCTCTCACCGCTTCCCCCACTTTTGTCGCCATAAGATCTTCCAACCTCATAGATTATCCTCTGTCAAGGCTTATTAAAAAATTACAGAGTACGGGTGGTGTGGTTCAAAACGAAACTGGAGGTAGTAATTGGCCCTATACTGACAAAAAATTAAAATACTCCGAAAACGCGTCGGGAACGCTCTACGGTAAGGTTGACTCTTCTACTCGGCTTATTCTGAGAATCGTACACGTTTTTCGCGAGGAAACGGTAGGCGCTGGGATGAAGAAATAGTAATGAGAGAGCACAGAGATGCAGACACCGCCGTGGGATGATTCCAAGGCGGAGCCGCGACCGAGGGGCGGAGTCATGGGAGCAACAAAATGGAGACTTGTCTTAAATATTGCGTTTCGAGAACTCGGGTAGCAACCGGTTGGTCCTTGACGAACTAGTCCGGCTTTTTTTTGTAGCACAATTTCATCCCTTAGGTATCATGACCTTTAATAATCTCACCACATTTGTAGTTGTTACATATTTTGATACACATGTGAGTCCTCCCAATGAAATCCTTTGATTAATTTTGGTTTTTGTTTTGTTTTTGCTATCTGTGACTTGCTGAGGCGGGGTTGGTAAACCAGTAAGTGGCACCACTTCCCAAGTCCGCAAGGGTTCGATACTCGATTTAGATGCTTGCGCTGGGGAAGCCCATGAAGTCTTCCACTCACTCAATTCCAGACTTGTTAAAAGTGATAAAACGCTGAATCGTGTTTCACAAGTGCTGGGTTGTGAACAAAACTTTCGCCCCAGACAGGATTCGAACCCGCACCTTCTGCTTACCGGGGAAGTGCGCTACAAGTTACGCTACCGGGGCACCATTTCATCCAGCTCTTGTGTCAACTGGCCTGTAATTAATTGTTCAGCATATCATTAAACTATTATGTTGATTGCTTTAGAGTTCAATAATTTTTATTTTATTGCTGTTCAACACGTGTTCTTCAAGGACTCTTACTAAACTGTTTTACTTTTTTTCTAAAATCTTTATTTAAGACTAAGTGTGAGAGTTCAAGGGTCGTTTTTAGCTCTGTTTGCACGTGCCCTTAGGAAGAACACTAAACTACCAATAGAATATCCTCTCCGCGCGCTTATCAGTAAGAGAGGAAAAAAAGAATTTAAGCGATATTTGCAAGTCATTGTATATGCCAAATCCAACAAAAATGCCACTATGATTTTGAATGGAACTGGAAGGCGAGGCGCATTCCAAAGAGAGGAATTGATACGAACTTTTTTTTAATTCTTGATTTTTATTATGTGGTAATAATATCACCGGTGGAATGCCAGGCTATCGCGAAAAATGCTTAAAGCAGCTCAGTTTGTGAGTCAAAACCATGCTCAATCCGCTGCAGGGTGAGCCCGAAAACCAAGGGAAATTTGGCTGAGGCGACCCCGCCCCCTCGGAGTTACCATAATACCTCAGTCGAGGTCCCATAACTCGCCTCGGTTTCCAGATGGTCCAACTCTAATTTGCTCTCATCCTATTCCGACCTATACCTGGTTTTACACAAAATGTGTGCCCACCGGGGCAGAACGAGTAATAATGTTGAGCAGTAAAAACGCAAACAGAAGTTTCGCAAAATTCGTACGAATTTTCGTGAAAATTTTCTCCAGAAACTGCCGAGAACTCTCTAGGAAAACGTCGAGCCCTAACCTGAATTTTGCCTGTCTCTTCTCGAAGTTCTCTGCCTGGTCCCATTCCGTGACGATATCTCTTCTCCTATAGACCAGATTTGACCTTCCTATAGAGGAATCCACCCTGGCGCATCGCAACATAGCCTAGAAGCGAAGAAGTTGAAATTTTGAGCCTCTCGGCCAGCCGCTCTACTTTTTGCCTCCCGTGAAGTCGATCTTGCACTCTGCTAAAGTGCTCCCAGATACTCGTCGAGCAGCTCTTCATTGGGTGGTCTTTTAATGCAATTGGCTTCCGCACAATCTTTTGTTCTCCGAACGTCCTTCGGAACCTTCCTTTCTCACTCTCTTTTGAAATCCCATCTCTCTTCTATTCAACACGCAACATTTTCCTTCCTTGTACTTGTTCTGTACAGTAATTTGTGGCCCGATGGGGTCAATTTATTGAATTTTAATCGACAATTAAATAATTTTCCTAGAAGATAACGGCAGACTTATCTGTCCATGAAGGCGTTTTTAAGCTAGGCAATGAAAGGCTGAAGGTCAGCAGGGGCGCAGGAGTTTGGACGTCAATGTGAAGTATTTAAAGCATTGAATATCCTATCAGTACACCGCAACATGCACCGGATTTTGTCATAAATTCTTAAAGTGTCTCCTTAATTGTGCTCAGCAGCTATTCAATGTAATTCGCTTGTTGCGGACCAAAATTAAATAGCTGGCGCAAAAATCCAAACTGAAATCTAGCCGGATCGTGATGACGCGCTGGGCAGGAAATCAGAAACAAGTTCAGCGACTCCGATGGCCGATGGAGTCGTGTACCCTCGATTGGCCGATGGAGTCGTTACGCTCCCGAACCCACACAAATTCTGAACGTAATGGGAGGAGTTGGGCGTATACCTGCATAACTCTTGAAACGGCAAATTTTACCTAAACCTTCAAAAAGGCTTGAATTTCATCAGAATTCTCCCAGCTTATTCAAAAAATTCGCTTTCTTCAAAAAGTGCGACCTCATTTGGCCAATTTGGCATTCGTCCTCAAAGCTGCTAATACGACCCCCTCGTGTGACTCGGCCACATGGACGGCCTTCCCTTGGTCCCATTTCTCATATTTTCGGTCTTTTTTTGCTCCTTCTTCGCTGCCTCTTCTATTTAGCACCCCTGTTTCCATGCCAAATTGAGATAAATTGATTAATAGATTAATCAATTAATCAATCGACCACTATATTCTGCGTGACCGCTGCTTTCAACTTAATATATTTATTCAACATACAAATATTGTGGCAATGATTTGGTCCCACAAATGAAGATTATGTTCCTGAACGGTGCTAAAACCAGGTAGCAGTTCAAGGCGTATTAATTTTCA